TTCCATTTCTAGTGCCTAGAACAGTGCATGGCACACAGTAGGGCTCAGAAAATACTTGCTGAGTCAACTGATGAATAAAATAAGAACAAGGCTCGGTGGGGATCTCCCTATCATAGGCTGTGGAGAATTGAAGTATACAGCTCTTCAGAGGTGGGAACGCCTTCCATTAGACCAAGCTACCAACAGGCTGAAAACCATTCTGATCTATCACACCTTAATGGGGAGAAATAGGAGGTAGAAGGGCATTCAATTTTCAAAGGAACAAGACTATCACTGGCAAGGTTAGACAATGATTCTGTTTGGGGCCCTTTAAAATTGCTGTCAACTGGCCAGTCCTATGAAATCAGGTCACCGGAATTTGGAGGGAACACGCACTCAAAAGCCCAGACTGTACAGGCTGAGCACGGGGCCTGGGCCTCAGGAATATCCTTCTGAGACAACTAAGCTGTGTTCATAGGTAACCAAGGGGCCAAAAGTCAATGATGCAACCGCTGCAAAAGAGGAAGTGATTCAACCACCTCCATGCCCACCTAGGCCTCGGCCTCCCGGGACCCACTCACCTACACTCTTTACATGTAACATCCCCTTTGGCTCCCAGTGCTCCCAGTGTCCGGTGTTGGGACTGATCTGTTCTCAGATCTAGCCAGGAGGAGCCCTCTGTGAGGGTCCTTTCCAGGTGCTAAGACAACATGGCACATGGACATGGCTCTGCTACCACAGCCAATCCTGCACAGTGGTACTTTATACGTTTCTTCAAGGCCAGAACACCAGCAGAAAGGAAGTGATGGCTTCTGTGGCCCCATACTGAGTGAGCTGGGTGGGTGGCCATTCCTCACCTACCAGGCATTTGAAAGATACCTACCATTCCAGGGGCCAACACAAATTCCTATATAATAAAGAGGTGATGTGCAAATTGACCATCACTCCAACACACAAAGATGGCCACTCCCATGTGGCCACAAGATGGCCACCACAAGATGGCCAGCAGGGGAGGGCAGTTGGGGGTGATCAGGCTGGCAAGGGAGGGCAGTTGGGGGCAACCAGGCCTTCAGAGGAGGGCAGTTAGGGGTGACCAGGCCAGCAAGGGAGGGCAGTTAGGGGCAATCGGGCCAGCAGGGGAACAGTTAGGCATCAATTAGGCTGGCAGGGGAGTGGTTAGGGACAATCAGGCAGGCAGGCAGGCGAGTGGTTGGAAGCCAGCAGTACTGGATTGTGAGAGGGATGTTCCAGATTGGAGAGGGTGTAGGCTGGGCTGAGGGACACCTGCCCCCCTCCAACACCCCATGCATGAATTTTGTGCACCAGGCCTCTAGTAATTTAATAATCCCTGGGACAGGTATAGGGGACCAAATATCCAGAAAAAGCCACTGACCGAAGTGGGTGTATCTCTACTCTTCCATACTTATTTACCATCTGAGGCCTTGCACACACCAGGCAAGCTGTTTAGTCTCTAACTGTCTGGCTTGTTAGACCGAACAAGCAAGTAGATTTGGCTGTTAAGGGGCAGCTGGTGGGTCGGGCAGGACACTAAACTAAGATCTCAGCCGAAACTGGTTTGACTTAGTGGATAGAGCGGTCTTCGGACTGAAAGGTCCCAGGTTCGATTCCGGTCAAGGGCATGTACATTGGTTGCGGGCACATCCCCAGCAGGGAGTGTGCAAGAAGTAGCTGGTCAATGTTTCTCTCTCATGATGTTTCTAGCTCTCTATCCCTCTCCCTTCCTCTCTGTAAAAAAGCAATAAAATATATTTTAAAAAAATAAAAATAAACTAAGATCTCAGATTGAATGGGGGGGGGTGTCAAGGGAAGAATGGGTAGAGGGTTGGGGTGAAGACAACAGAAGTGAAAAGATATGGAGACCCCAGTTTAAATGAGATCGAGTGAGAGTGAAAGGAACCGGGGCAGCAAAGTTGGGGGTGGTTTAGCCAAGACTTAGGGAAGGAGGATGTCCTCAGGATAGCTGGAGATGGACAGGAAGTGAGATAGGCTGAGAAGTTAGGGGGTGAGTCTGTGCAGACGAGATACAGACCTGGGACAGGACTGAGGATCAGAGTTACCAGGAAGAAAGGGGTGAGCCGGAAGCTGACTTTGGGGGTGGTCTTACGGGAGAGTGGGCAGCGGTGGGTGTTTGGGGTGAGCAGGTCTTGGGAAGCCGAGCTGCCGGAGATTGGGATAAGAAAGCTGATCCAGAAAAAAGGCAAACCAGAATGGTGGGTCTCACGGTTTGCGGGGAGCATTAGGACTGCCAGAGGGGCTGGGGTGAGGATGACATGTGTCGGAGGGAGCCGGGGGAATGCAGCCGGATCGGATCGGGGTTGGAGCTGAGCTACAGTGGGGCCAAGGGTGAGGCTGCATTTGCGCAAGGCCGGTGGAGAGGGGGTGGGGTGCGGGCCGGCGTCAGGTCCCGGGGGAGAGGACAGAGGGGACCGCCGCAGGGGCCGTGCGGGCCGAGGGCCGGGGCCGGAGGAGGAAGCGGGGGAACCGGGTTCGGGCTGGGAAGGGTGAGGGCTCTGAAGCAGGCGGTCTCAAGGCAGCCGGGGGTTCGGGATCCCGTGGAGGGCCGCTGGCCCGCCGCCCGCCCGCCACCCCCCACGCCCCGCCGCCTAACTTACCGGGGGAAGCGGGGAGCGGGCCGGGGGCACTCCCGGCCACCGCGGCCGCAGAAGCTCGGACCCGAACCCGCGGCCTCCGGTTACTGACAACAGCAAGCTGCGCCCGGGGCGCCTGACGCCATCACGTCGGCCCGCCCAGCCCCGCCCCCGGCCCGCGGAGCCAATCGCGAAGCCCGGAGGAGCGGGGGCGTGGCCGAGGGCGTGGCCGGGGCGGGCCCGGGGGCGGGGCTGGCGCTCCGGGAGCCCCAGGGATCCCAGCCCCCGGGCGGTCCCAGGAGGCTCGGGATCGGTTACGGGTTCGGAGACCCGAGACCGGACGTCGGGCCGGACGCGTCCTCCCTGCCGGCTCCCCGCAGGGTCTGGGTCAGACTATAGACTCCGGCATCGGGCTGCCCGCCCTCTCCCGGCCTCGGCTTGGTGCAACGTAGCTTGACCTCCTGCGGCAAAGGCTGCCCACTTGTAACTTGGGATGAATAACCGCTATGCTACCCCATGTTTGCCTTGCCAGAGCATCAGGGCATCAGTGCAGCCCGGGGCCAGGGCTCAGGGCCACGCCGGAGCCTCCGCCTGGAGGCGTTCAGGAAAAACACCTTACTCTCAAAGGAAGCGCCTAAGGCAGGCCCCTGGGCATTCTCCTTTAACCAGCTCACCCGCAGGGAGACACAAAGCCAGTTAAATTTGACTTTCATTGCAGACGTGATATTTCTCTTTCCGGTGAATTCAAAACAAGCATAGCAAGGGGGTGTCCTGCGGTGCAGACGCTAGCATTGGTGTGAACAGGGGTGCGGAGGTAGGGCTGGTGGCGGGACCAGGGAGTCCCTGCGGGTGGCCACAGGGCTGGTTGAGGATCAGGCCAGTTCTTGGAAGCAAGCTGCACTGACCTCCGTGGGGAGTGGGGGAACGGGGTGGGAGGTGAGAGAAGGGTTCCTGTGCTCCCTGGCCCTCCCTGGAATGCAGGTGTTCGTGTCCCTGAGAAGGTCGAGGTCCCCCAGCCTGTTTCCACTTATAAAACCAGCTGGTGGGGTACCCCCCTTCCCCCCTTTGCAATTCTCTCTCCAGGAGTGAAAACGCACTGGCTCCCTAGGTTTTAGGCTAGATGAGTGAGAGCTAAGTGCCTACACTATGGTTAATGGTTGAACAGGATTAGAAATAAAAACTTAGCAAAATGTGAGACACACTAACCAAGAGATGAGGGAGTCAGGTTATAATATTCGTGGTAAACAGAAGCCCCTACTGTGTGCCAGGTAAGAACATTTGTCGTCATTAGCCACCTGGAAGGCCTTTGTCGTCCCCATGGTTCAGGTAAGAAAGCAGGCTTAGAGCCAACCTGGGGGACCCAAGCTGCACAGCTACTAATCCTCCCCCCCCCCCCCCCCCAGTTCTTTCCAGGTCTTGTTGGAGGGGTAGTAGTTCCCTCTGTAAGAGGGCAAGTGGGCCTGAGGGCCAGGATTGCTTCCGTTTGAACCCCAGCTCTTCCCCATGCTGTTTTCTGGGTCTCCCCTACACAGGGGCCTAGGGCACCCCAGTAAGCAGGGGGCTAAGACAACTGCCACAGTGTCTATTTTTTCATAGGGCCCTTGAGATAACATTGAAGATAGAAACTTCTCTGGATGTTCAAAAAAGAGAAGTCAGGTCACACCACCCATGGCCCCGTAGCGTAGAGAAGAGGGCTCCAAGTGTGTGAATTCATGGAAGTTTCAAAACCTCTGAGTCTCAGTTCCTCATCCCTAAATTGGGGAAGATATCAGCTGACGTGAGGATTAAATAAGATCATATCCTCAGGAGGGGTTTTGGTCTGTAGTGAGCACTTGAAGATGACGAGCTATTATTGTTCCAGTTCTGGCCATTCTCACCTTTCCAAGCCAGTCACGTTCCTGCCTTTCTTTCTTTTCCTTTTTTTAAAAAGAATATATTTCATTGATTTTTTTACAGAGAGGAAGGGAGAGGAATAGAGAGTTAGAAACTTCGATGAGAGAGAGACATCGATAGCTGCCTCCTGCACACTCCCACTGGAGATGTGCCCGCAACTCAGGCATACGCCCCTGGCCAGAATCGAACCCGGGACCCTTCAGTCCACAGGCTGATGCTCCATCCACTGAGCCAAGGCTAGGGCACGGTCCTGCCTTTCACTGCTCTTCTGAGCACTGGAGCCAGATAATTTCTGGTTTGAATCCTTATTTGCCATCAGATTGGAATCATCAAACTAGTATGCACGCCTCTCTCTCCGTACTGGAATAGCTGGTCTTCTGGGCTCTGCTGCAGATTATTCCCACCCTCCTTAAGAAAAAAAAAAAAAAGGATTTATAAGTTTTGTTTGTTTTTTCTTATTTGTCAACTATACTTCAATAAAGCTGGGGGAAAAAATCACAAGATAATGGACGGGGGAAAAAAAGAACAATATTTATTGTACACACAGGCCAATAGAACGTTCAGGGAGGCTGAGGAGGGGGTTCGCTGGGCGGCAGGGTCATGTGCTCATTCGCTGGGCTGGTGGCCGCAGGGTCTGTGGCAGCGACCCTCACCACGGAGAACTCTCCGCGCAACCTGCAGTGAGAAGGACAAGGCTTTCACTCCCGGAAGGAACAACTAAAGCTATTCATTATTTCCTCGCGTGTGACAAGAACTCGGAGTTGCTCCCAGTCGCTCACATTCTGTAGAACAGTTCATCCTCAGCGGCCGGCTCCTGGTCGTGCAGCTCCCGGGCCATGCTCTCCACGCGGGCGGCGCTGCGAGGCCTGTGCAGGTCCCTCAGCCAGAGCGGCTGCCCCTTCCAGAAACCGCCTTCCTAGAGCAGACAGGGGGTATGAGCTGTGTTCCTCCTACCGTGTCCCCGCACAGCACTCGATCCTCCTCAGATTTACCTGCATCTTGTGTTCCGGTGACCGTCTCATATGCCGGAAAAATGGGGGAAAGCCCCTTGGAGGAAAAACGCAGACTGACAATTAGCGATTCATGCCATTTCCATGGCTCTCACACGTATAGCTCTGGTCTTAGGAGGACTAATGGGGACCTGGGTCCATACTCACGAGCAAAACCACCACAGGCCTGGGACCTGGAAAACGAGTCCTCGCATGCTGGGCTTCCTGAAGTTCTCTGTTTAAAGCGGCCCCACAGTGTCTCTGGGGAGACCTTTCCATGCGGCTTGGCAGAGCACGGGCAGCATTTTCAGCCCCACTCACTGCCTTGGTCCTTGACCAAGGGCCCTCATGCAGTGAAAGCCAAAAAGCACAGGCACACGGGGCAGAAACATTTTCCTCAGGTCCCCTTTAGACCGTGGCTCACAGGCATCATATGCTGGGGGTGGGGTGGGGGGGGGGGGAGTGCTTTTATTTTGCTAGCTGCTTTATCCCATACATTAAATCACGCCAACTAGCCAGGTTATCTAGCTTGCTGACTTTCATACTGCAGGCTGAAAGTGAGTTGTGAAATCAGATGAAAGGTCATAACCAGAACCAAAATACAAAAGATTCTCTTTTGAATACAAACAAAATAGGAAAAAAAAATCAGACTACATAATAATATGGGAAGAAGTTTCTCTACTTCCAAAATTAGACTTGCCGAAAAAAATTGCCAGACTTGCCGAAACCAGTTTGGCTCAGTGGATAGAGCATCGGTCTGCGGACTGAAAGGTCCCGGGTTCGATTCTGGTCAAGGGCATGCACTTTGGATGCGGGCACATTCCCAGTAGGGGGTGTGCAAGCACATTCCCAGTAGGGGGTGTGCAAGAGGCAGCTGACTGATGTTTCTAACTCTCTATCCTTTTCTCTTCCTCTCAGTAAAGAAATCAATAAAATATATTTTTAAAAAATAAATAAAAATTGCCAGACTTATAATTACCTTGAGCTTCCTTCTTTACTTTCCTTTGATGGTGTTCTATGACAATAAATCTTTTTTGGAAGAAAACAACATCATGATTATTCATCACAATGACCACTATCTCTTAATCTGTATATGTTCCCTTTAGGTGAGATGATAACTTTTCTGACCGGAACTCTTTGAGGAGTCATGTGACTCTTGTTCCTTAGTTCCTAACTTAGGATTTTGCATGCAGCTGGAAATGTATTTTATTGGCTGTTTTAGAGAACATTCAGCAGGTAATTCTTAACAAAAAAACTCCTAGAAGTAGGAAAATAAAATAAAAGTATCTTACCAGAAACCTACATAGCAGCTTTGTCTTAAGGTCAAGAACAAAAGTAGAATGCCTAATATTACCGTTACTATTCATCATTTTTTAGGAGGTCCTAATCAATTTAATTTTAAAAAATGAAGTATTGAAAAAAGATAAAACATGTTTGCACATGAGATGATGTATAACCTTAAAAAGCCCAACAGCATCTATTAAAATGTTATTGTCAGTACTACAACAATTTAGTAAGATGGCTAAATCCATGATCAAGAGATCAACAGGCAAACCTCAATAGCTTTCCTATCTCCCACAAATAACTAGTTTAAAAAATGAAAGAGCACATTTACAATATCAATGAAAGTACATAGGAATAAACTTAACAAAAAATGTGTAAGACCTGTGTGATGAAAACATTAAAACTCTTCTGAAGGACATTAGGAAGAATGACGACCATGCTCCTGGAATGTTGTAAACATGTCAATTCTCCACAACTTAACCCTCAAATGCAGTGCAATCCTATTCAAATTCCAAGGTAGCTTTTAAACAAACCCCCTTCCCCCCCCAAAAAAAAGACAAAAACTGGCCAGCTGACATGTAATAGGAAACATATGCAAGAATAGCTATGAAATGTATGGAAAACAAGATAACAAAACAGGAGCTTATCCTACTAGATGTCAAAATATATGAAAAGGAATTGGAACTATTATATGGTAATACTGCTACTGGTACAGAAAAAAAAATAACTGGATCAACAGAATAGAAGCCAGACAAAGAGAGTATTTTAGATCAGAGAAGAAAGAATGAGTCATTCAATAAAAGATTCTGAAACAATTGCCTTTTTGTGTGGGGGATAAACAGTCAACCAGACTAAAAACAAAAATGAATGATAGACAGATTTTAAAAACGTATAAGAAATGTTATAAAAAGGACTTGCAAATACTAGAGACTATTTTCATATCATGAGGTGACAAAGGCCTTGTTACAAAACCTACACCCAATAAGGCACGAGAGGACTGACATATGATGAGAGACTGTCAACAGAAAGCCTCCTCCTCACAGCCCTTGCCCTCTTCTCCCCTTGACTGTTTATCATCTTCCTGTTCATTTGTCTTACTCCTTTCAGCAGCTTTCACTGAGTTTCAGTGCTTTTGTGTTCGAGGAGACAGAACAGTGGAGTAAGAGGCACAGGCTTTGCAGTCGGGCAAATGGGCTTCTGCTTTTGGTTTGGCCACTGGGCCTGAAGTTATCTCCATTGATGGAAGAGGGTGTTTATCATCCTCACGGGACTGTAGGGATTGAGTCAGACATCATATGGAAAATTCTTCATCCTATGCTTGGCATAAACTAGTGCTAAGTGTGCTAATGGTGACATAGTGGTCAAATCTATCAAAGGGTTCTGCCTGTGGTATCAGGCTCAAACAGCTCTTTCCCACGATAGAAAGAGAATAATTGGTGAGTATTCATCAAATTAACATCATCCATTTTGAATTGAAGAAATTTTGCTATCATGTCAGCTCTGGCTAGTTAAACTTAAAATTTCAAACTATTCTAGGGGCTTGTTATCTTGATTTCACTTCCACAGAGATCTCTGGGAGTGGGTGGGCCTCCTTTAAAAATCCCTGGAATATAATTTATAGTAAAAGAACAAAGCATATCTCAGTGCTCATGGCTAACGAGGAATATCAAGTAGAAGTCAGTAGGATAGTGGTCTTGACTTTCAGATTGTGGGTTCTAAATCTATTCTAAAGACAGAATATATTTTGGAAATTGAATCGACTATTGTCTTACCGCAATGAGACAGGAAATTACAATAAAAGTTATTGTTACTACAGTCACAGTTATTGCCACGATGAGGTTGTTGCTATGGCCATATCCCGGCACTTCTTTTGTGAGCTAAAAAACAAAAACAAAGGACGCATTAAAAGAAGAAGAAAAAAAACAAAGATGGAAAGGATAAAAACAAATTCTTCTCTAGTCTATTCTAACTATTCCTTTTGTTGTTTTCAATCCTCACCTGAAGATTTTTTTTTCCCATTGATTTTTAGAGAGAGTAGAAAGGAGAGGAGGAAGAAGGGGAAAAGGAGAAGGGAGGGAGAGAGAAAAAGAGAGAAAGAGAGAGATAGAGATACAGATAAAGATAGATAAAGAGAGAGGGGGGGGGGAGATAGATAGAGAGAGAGATCTATTGGTTGCCTCCCAAAAGCCCCGACTAGGGCAGGGGATCAGGAATCGAAATATGTACCCTTGACCCTTCTATGCTCTAACCATAGAACCATACTGGCCAGGGCTAACTATTCTTAACTACTTCTCTAAAACCCCATTCTTTCAGATGAATTGCTTATGAGTTCTTTTTTAAAAAAATATATATGTATTTTATTGATTTTTTACAGAGATGAAGGGAGAGGGATAGAGAGTTAGAAACATCGATGAGAGAAAAACATCAACCAGCTGCCTCCTGCACACCCACTACTGGGGATGTGCCTACAACCAAGGTACATGCCCTTGACCGGAATTAAACCTGGGATCCGTGAGTCCGTAGGCCGACGCTCTATCCACTGAGCCAAACCGGTTAGGGCAGCTTATAGGTTCTTAAAGAACATACCAGCCGAAACCGGTTTGGCTCAGTGGTGGAGCGTTGGCCTGCAGACTGAGAGGTCCCAGGTTTGATTCAGGTCAGGGACATGTACCTTGGTTGCGGGCACATCCCCAGTGGGGGATGTGCAGGAGGCAGCTGGTCGATGTTTCTCTCTCATCTCTCATCGATGTTTCTAGCTCTCTATCCCTCTTCCTTCCTCTCTGTAAAAAATCAATTAAAAAAATTAAAAAAAAGAACATACCAAATAAAATGTGCTATGTAACCTGAGCATTAGCATTTTTTTGTACAATTTATCTTTCCTCGTCTACCCTAGGAACAGTGGCACCATTCTCCAGATGAGCAAAGGAGGGATCACTGTCTTGGCCAAAGTCACATGGCCAAGACAAGATTCAGACCAGGCGCTTGGCCTTCCTGCCTGGTGCTTTCACGGCGTGTCCTGACTGACTGGAAGCCCAGGTCTTATGTTTGGGGAGCTGTCCTCACCTCATTGGGCTCCTCCTCTTCCCGTTCACCCGGAGCTCCCAGCCTCGGCTTTTCCCATTGATCCGTAGCCTGCTCTGCCTTGGAGACGTTCTCTTCTTGCTGTTTACTGAGCAGCTTCGTCAGGGGGCCTGTTCCAGAAAATAGCTCCCTCAGTTTATTTTTGTAACTTTAACGGTAAAGCTCGGGTTTAAGAGAAAGAGTCCCTCTGTTGTTTACCAAATGACTCAGGGACATGTCTCCATCTTGTACATTTGAAAAGGGGAGTTTAATGAATGGTAATAACATTGGTTCTAGGTTTTCTAGATTTTCCTCCAAGAAGTAGGGCCGTATGTAACTGGTGCACGCATAACATCACTTTTATCATCAGAGTCCAGGGGCTCACGTGTGAGGGATGATGAATGCTCTCCATTTCTGTGGGAGGATGCCCCCTCTGGCTCAACGGCCAGCTCGGTGCTGGTGTGCTTCCGGCCTTGCAGTATTTGCATGAATGGTCCTTCTATAAGCATCTCTTCGTCTGTCAAAGAAGGAGAGACCACTTTTGATAATGAAAGACTCTCAGGACAGCTTTTTTTCAGTCCACAGCCATCCATCCCAGTCAAGTAAACTGGGAATCAGCAAATATCTGAGTGCCATTTAGAGAGGAGAAAAATAAATCCCAACTTAAACTTATTATTGTCAACACAACAAAGGAGAAAAGGCATCGTTTTAGAAAGTGGTTATTTATTGAGAACATTCTGTAGTGTGGAATATAGTAACTATACTTAGAATTATTCTATTGGTTCCCAAGGGCCAATGCCGGTTATTGAAGAAAAGCCAAGTCTGAAAGACCCACTCAGTGAGAACCTGAAGACCTGCTGTGACTCCCCACATTCACACACCCCATCCTGTCCTGCCTGAGATGCAGAGGGGGCCAGAGGCTTCCTCTCTCCACTCTTCAGGGAGCTCGTGTTCTTGCTACCATCACAGACGACCACAGTTAACGCCCACTGCTAACAGGTCCTCATCTGGACACGCCCGTCTCCACTTACCCACCCATTCCTTAGCTTGGTCCCTGTTCCCACATATCCCAGCCCCCATAACAGAAGGCACTATTCAGAAAAAAACACTATGTCCACTCTTGCTCTTCAGTTAAATTTAGGCAGGCATCTGGGATGTAGATCAAAAGATTTCCAAGGTAACAGACTATCAAATTACAGCGGGAAGGTTAGGGAGATATGGGGAAGATCAGAGATCAACCAAAGGACTTGTATGCATGCATATAAGCATAACCAATGGACGCAAAACTCTGGGGAAGGAGGGCATGTATGGGAGTGGGGGAGGCAATGGTAAAACATGTACACATATAATACCTTAAAAAAAAAAAAAAAAGAAAAAAAAAGATTTGCGAGGTTGTGTGCCACTGTGGAATGTTCAATAAATCTATGGAATAATACTTGGGGAAAGAGCAATTTTAAAAAAATATATATTTTTATTGATTTCAGAGATAAAGAGGGAGGGAGAGACAGAAACATCAATGATGAGAGAATCATTGATCGGCTGGCTCCTGCATGCCCCCTACTGAGGATTGAGCCAGCAATCCGGGCATGTGCCCTTGACTATAATCGAATCTGGGACCCTTCAGGCCCCAGGCTGTGCTCTATCCACTGAGCAAAACTGGCTAGGGTAGAAAGAGTAATTTTTGTCAGCTGCCTTCTTTGCTTTCATTTCATGATATTTCTTTTATTTTCAGTTTCATGTGGGGAACCATCGAAAGCTTCTGACTGCATGGAGGTCAAATGTGCCATTGGGCAGCCGGGTTTTCTTTTCCAGAAAAATTAAAAGTTTTGCTGGTGGTGGTGAGGACCAGAGAAGGAGGTAAGGGCCCTGAGAAAGGAGGAGCATGGGCTTACGAGAGCCCCAACTTGAAGCCAGGGACCTGGCACTAGGTGACAGCACTTGGCCCTTTCTGACCCTGTTTTTACTCACCTGTGAAAGGAGATTAAAATGCCTGTGGTGCCCACCCTTGAGGTAAAAGGGAACAATATAATTGATCAAAACATTGTTTTAAAAAATTAGCAACAGCGTTATTATTTTATGATGTGCCCCAGATCACTGATAGAGACCCACATTCAAGCTATCTGGGCAGGAAAGCATTTTGGAAGTTATCAAGCAGTGCCAGTAGCTTAATATGTAGAAAAATACTTAAAAGCATCTGAGTGTTTGGTGGATAGAAAACCTTGTGTTTCAGAGCAGATTCAGAGCCGAATGGTCTAAGGCAGCAGTCGCCAACCTTTCAGACCTCAGGGACCACCAGGGGTCCAAGGAGCACAGGTTGGCGACCGCCGGTCTAAGGATGCAAAAGCCCTCTGTCCATTAGAAGGGCTGGGTAGCAGCTTCTGGGGGTGGATCCAGAAACTCTCAGGTTCCAAATAAAACAGCATCATTTGTACTCTTTTTATAAAATTATAAAAATAAATGAAATAAAAAAATGTACCTATACCTATCCTATAATACAAGGCAAAGAGCAATTGAAACCACATGCATACAAAACCAGTTTACTGATGACACACTAATGAACAAGTTCTCATTTGGAAGTAAAGCAGCCAGCGGAGAGCACAACACACACTATGTGGCCATTGATGTTAACTCCCTTCCCCGCTTCCATTCTTCCCCTCCTATTCCTCTCCTGTTCTTTACCTGACTTTTAGCAAGGTGTAGTCTTAGAAATCTAGGCAGTTGAACGCTGACTGAGTGAATGAATGAATAAAAACAATGCAGTTATTTGTTTAAAAATTTATTATCATCGCTTAAAAATTAAAACATAAATAAAAATTTAAAAGTTTATCATTGGGCAATTCAGACTCACCACAAGGTATATTTTTCAGACATTCAGTATCACACTGCAGTTTGACTGTCTTGGCAACAGTCTCAATATTATTTTTAAATTGGCAGAGGCAGCAGGTCAAATGGCTAGGTAAGATCCTATAAATGGAAACACAGAGGAAATTAGTGGCAAAGGAGTTACTTGAGTTGGCAGGCCCAGGCTGCCCCAGAGCGGTGAAGAAAAGCATTGTTGGGGCTGCCCTGGCCAGAGCTGCTCCATGGTTAGAGCGTCGGCCAGCACAATGAAGGGTCTTGGATTGGATCCCACCCCAGTCAGGGCAAGTACTGGAGGAAACGGATGGATGTGTCTCTCTCACATCGATGTTTCTCTCTCTCTTCCCTCCTCTCTCTCTCTCTCTCTCCATCTCTCTCTCCATATATATATATCCCATCCCCACCCCTCTCCTCCTTCCGTACTCCCTTCCACTGTGTCTGAAAATCAATGGGAAAAATATCCTCAGGTGAGGATTAAAAAATTTTTTTTTGAAATCAATAGAAAAAAATATCCTTGGGTGAGCATTAACAACAATAAGAGTTGTTTGGGCATATCACCTGAGCACTTCGGTGGGGATCAGTTGGCCATTTGCTACTCTTGAATATAGTAAATAAATAGAGCCAAGGACAGAAGTGCCCATCAGAAGGATAAGAATGACAGTGGGTATGGCATACCTAGAATAGAGGTGATAGGCATTAGAATTGGGTGGCACTAATACGTAGTTTAATTCAGAAGTATCTCCTTTTCCCACCCCAAAGACTTCACTTTGGGTGGAGAATACACAGGAAGAGGGAAGACTTCTGAGAAGACTCTGGGTAAGTCCCCATCTTATAGAGTCTCTTTCTCAATTCCCAATTATGAATGGTACATACATTAGAAATGTCTCTGGGCATAAAAAACTTTATGTGGTTACCTGGCCTCAAGAAGCCTGACTTAGAAAATAATAAAGAAGGGGAGGGGAATGTTAAAATATGTACACAGATAGTAATTCAATTAAAAAAAAGAAAGAAAATAATAAAGAAGCCTAAAGGAAAGACCAAGTGAAAATAAATATAAGAAAAATCAACTTACAATTTTTCCAGTTGAGGAGTCATCATGAGGACGCTCCCAACTGTTATAAGTGACACGTGTGTCCTTCCCATGTCTCTGGAGGAGAAAGCCCAAACATGCATGATAAAAAACCCAAAGGCAAAAACTGTACACGTAAAAAGACAATTAGCAACATGTGAATACTTCAATTCTGGTTTCTGTCAAGCCAGCTTAAGAGCTTACCTGCCATAGATAATTTCAGAGAGCTCTTCTTGAATAAATTTATTTATTTATTTCTTAAATAAATCTTTATTGTTCATATTATTACAAATGTTCCTCATTTCCCCCCCTCCATTGCTCCCCTCCACCAGGTTCCCACCCCACTCTCTGCTCTTTCCCCACTCCCCATTGTCCTCATCCATAGGTGCACAGTTTATGTTCAGTCTCTTCCCACACCCCCCACTCCCCTTTTCCCTGAGATTCGTCAGTTCACTCCCCTTCCATACCCTGATTCCATTATATTCACCAGTTAATATTATTCATCAGATTTTTTTTAATTCCCTTAGTTTTTAGATTCACTTGTTGATAGTTACGTATTTGTTGTTCTCTTGAAGAAATTTAAATTTATTTGTGTCATCAAATGAATGACCTTGGTGAAACAATCTTTTTTCTTTGATTAAAACCTTACTTATCTTACTTCTCGTTCTCTATTGCGCCCACCATTTGATTACTCTTTTAATACATAATGTACAACTTGTTTCTTTCTGATGTCAATAGTATTTCTAGATGCATCTACATGTTCCATATCTGTATGTGTTCTTCAATGCCACTCCCTTCCTGTTGGCTGTCTTGTTCATATACATTCTTTCTTAATCACTTTTCTGTGCCAATAACTCTTATCCAATAACCCAATTAAAATGTAAATTATGACCTTTTAGTCAAAATCCAAAATACTTAATCATTGATGAAAGTAAGAAAGCAGAAATCATCTCATGAGCCATGAGATTGTTGTATACTTACAAATATTTTAATGCTGGCAATTTAAAAAGATATGGATCTTGAACAGTTGTCAGAGGATTCCGATTGAGAATTCTGAAAAATGCAATGAAATTAAAATTATCTCAAAGGTTCCCCTTGCCACAGATAATTCACTTCAGATGCATATACTTTATGAAAAATAATGTTCTGGGTGATTGGGAGAGAAGTACTGTGTGGCAGATTTTTAGAAATTCTTTCTGCTTTATCATTTAAAAGAGACTCATGGCTGAGGAAATACCTACACTTTTTGCTCCCTGGAGAACTCTGAACTAAACTTAATTATTTCAGTTCTATGTTGCATACATTTAAGCAGTTAGGAACTTTGCACATGAACAGGAATCAAAGTTAAATTCAGATGTGGAATTTCAAGGACCATTCATGTATCGGAGCAGCAGCACCACTGGGATTCCCAGGACGATGCTACACTGAACGTTATGTGCTTGGTGCCTCCTATTGCCCAGGCCAAAGGTCAGTACCAGGGAAAGCAGGCAGTGCCATATGAGTTAGACAAGTCTCTTGGTCTCTTTGTACCTTACTTTCCTCATTTGAATAAAAAATGAATGGCTTTTAAGCCATACTTTTCAGAATTCAAACTGGGCTTACATCCAACTAACCAATCACTGTATGCTGTTTTTACATATAGCTTTTTACATAGTTTTGGCTTCTATTTTACTTACAATTTGTGTAAAAACTTCATTCCATGCCAGGCCTGAAATGTTCCAAACCTCACTTTTGTGATTAAATTGCAACCAAGATTTCTACAAAAAGACACAAGGAAAAAAAAAAAAGACAAAAAATATTACATCTGATCATTTACCTTTTGGCAGTGATTCTAATTTATACATAATAAACAACCTCAATATTCCCTCCACACACTAAATCTCATTGTAGAAGAGATTTGCTTATGATTTATGCTTTCATGTTTATATATGAGTACATTAGATACAAAACAGTGAATAACAATGAGATTTACAATTAAGTTTTATAAAAATTATAAAGATAATTAAGTTATATGTATAACTTACATATACTGCAAAAAAGGTAGTGATGCAAATGTATTCCTTTCAATAAACTGTATTTTATTGCAGGATAAATCTCTAAAAAAAGTAAAAGAAAAATAGTGTCTCAATTAGCTACTAAATATCTAATTAGTAGGAATAATTGATAGAGGTTAGAATAGAAATATTGAAAATGTAGCTTTAGTCTAAACTTGAAATCTTAGGAATTGTGATTTGAACCTTTCAGAGCCCCTAACCCTGCCCTCACCTCTCTCACTTTCATGATCTTCATAAATAAAATATGCAACTATAGATCTTGATAGACTTTAAGGGTAATCTTTCCTGAGAGCAGAAGAATCAACTAGATGACCTTTTATCCCATCAAACTTAGATTATGAGCTCAAAGGTTGTATTTTTATATGTAATTATAAATGTATAATATTAAAAGAAACAGTCTCACATTTACACACCCTTCTGGTTTAGTTCTGTTTGTTTAAGTCAATATCAGATGAAATAAAAGATGCCTTTTCACATAACTTGAAAGGAAGTTACTTCTCTAATAATACAGAACTTTGAACTAATTCAGAATGATACTTTCTATTATATTAATAGAAATTCATTTTAATTTTACATTGCTTTAATAACCCATGAATGTAACTGCTTCAGTTGTACAGTGGTGGGACAACAGAAAACAACATTATGCTTAATTTTTACTTGAAAACACCTACTGTTGTCTATAGTTGGCTCTCTTATTTCCATTGATCCCACTTTAGTCTTTCACTTTTCATCTGGATGAGTATAACTGTTTTCTGACTGGTGCTTCCCTCTATCCTCTTCTCCTTTCTAATCTATCCTGTACACAGTCACCAGATTAGCTTCCCAGAAGTGACTCTCAAATACTAGCCAGCATCATTTGAAAATTTACTTAAGATGCAAATTCTCAATCCTCCCCTGGACCCACTGAATCAGTAACTGTGAGGTGCAGCTTGAGTTTTAACAAGCCCTCCAAGTGATTCTGCTGTAGGCTAAAGTTTGTCCTAGAGCACTATGTGATAATATGGTAGCTTGGCATTCAAAGCTTTAGATGATCTGATTCTAAATTGCTACTCTCTCTACTTGTACTCTAAAATGTATTTTTCCTGTCCTACCTGGTTTGGCTCAGTGGATAGAGCGTCGGCTTGCGCACTCAAGGGTCCCAGGTTCGATTCCGGTCAAGGGCATATACCTTGGTTGCGGACAAACCCCAGGAGGGGGTGTGCAGGAGGCAGCTGGTTGATGATTCTCTCTCATCGATGTTTCTAACTCTCTATCCCTAGAACATTGATGAGAGAGAATCATCGACCAGCTGCCTCCTGCACACCCCCTCCTGGGGATGTGTCCGCAACCAAGGTATATGCCCTTGACCGGAATCGAACCTGGGACCTTTGAGTCCGCAGACCGATGCTCTATCCACTACCGACGCTCTATCCACTGAGCCAAACCAGTTTCAGCAAAATATATATTTTTAAATGTATTTTTCCTGTGTCTTGCCTTTCCAGGTGCTCCTTTTACAAGCTTATTCTACCCAAGATGTCTGTCTGATGATCCCCAAGGGCCCTTCAAGGTTCAAAAAGCTACTCCAGTAGCATCTTTGCTAATGCAACTTGAAGTCTCTTTTCCCTCTGCTGTAATCAAAAGCAATTTATAGCCCCCATTGCCCATATCTATTTCCTCGTTTTAAAGTTATTTTTATATCCTGTTTCCTCTGAGAATGACTCCTTGAAAGTATGCACTGGGTCTTGTTCATTTGCATTGTCTACTATGTTAAAAACAGACATGTGAACATATGAAAATTCAACTATCTATATACAATCTAATAAAAGGGTAATATGCAAATTAACCGTCACTCCATCACAAAGATGGCGGTGCCCATAGCCACAAGATGGCGGCATCCAGTCCTCTAAGCCCCGCCAGAGTCCCCCAGTCCCAGGGAGGCAGCAGTCAACATGAGCAGCCTGGCCGAATGTTTGCTTTATTGCCATGGCAATAAGGTAAGCATTCCACATGAGCTTTGGAGAGCCTCTGGGCAGCTGGCACAGAGCAGCCAGGGGGTTGGGGTTAACACTTGTATTGTCGCCCGGGTGATTAGGTAAGTGTCTCACGCCTGGCAGTGGATGGGCCTCTGGGCCATGGAGAGCCTCTGGGCATCAGGCGTAGAGCAGCCAGGCCCTACAGAGAGCTACTGGCTCATGGATTTGTGCACAGAGCTACTAGGATATATATAAAAGGCTAATGTGCAAACTCAGGAGTTTGACCAGGAGACTGGGAGTTCGATTGCTCACTATGACATGCGCTGACCACAGGGGGCGGTGCAAAAAAAAGGAAGGCCCAGCTGGCAGCCAGAAGACCCCGATCGGCCCTGATCACCAGCCAGGCCTATGGACGAATTTTGTGCACTGGCCTCTAGTTTATGAAATAAACAAATAGCAGGGAAGTAGAGAGAGAAAAATGATTTTCAGTTTTATCACTTTATGGCTCCCTCTTGTGTACCTCTGTAGCATGTTGTCTTCCATTTAGTACTTGTGCACTATTAGAGCTGATGTTTCTTTTCCCCATGAGATCATGAGTTACTTGAAGGGTAGAAACCCTGTTTTACCCATCTTTGTGCCTACAATTCTAGGCATAGTGCTTGGCTTTACTAGCTTATTTATTGATTGGCATTTTTAAGTGAATGGGAATACTTATGATAGCATGAAATAATTAGTTTACAAAGTATTTCACAGTAGAAATAAACAATAACCTAATCTATTGAGCAGTTACCTCATTTGCTTTTCTCCAAACTATAAGGTTTGGAACCCAGATGGCAGATACCCAAGACTAATATAAAAGTGGTGTCCTCCTAAGGCTTGAAATGTTTGGTAATCCACAGGACTATTTTTGGTGTCATATAAGACTCTTTATACTCACTTCCCTAAAGCCTTCTGCTTTTGAAAAAAGAATCTATTTGCTAAAGAGCACCATTCATTTGCTTAATAAAGATTAATGACACACACAGCTCTGAATGCCATGGACAAAGGAGCATAATTGAGTTTTATAGCAAAAAATATCTCCTTATAAATAAACAGCATTACTAGGCAAACATTTCTTCTCTGACAAGGAGGCTGGAGAGATTTTTATTTTGAAACTAGAGGCCTGTTACATGAAGATCCATGCAAGAATAAATCTTTCTTTCCCTGGCTTCACTCCCAGCCGCCGAGGAGCCTTCAGGTCCTCACTCATGGTGGAATGCCGCTTCTGTAGCTCCCTCTGCCCCTTCCCCTTCCCCTCATAGCAGGCATCCCGCCCCTTCTGGCCACTCCACATCTGTGTATGCAAATTAATCTACCATTTTTGCTGGGTTAATTTGCATTCTCACTCCTGATTGGCTGATGAGCATTGCAGAGGTACTGTCAATTTGCATATTTCTCTTTTATTAGTGGAGGTGGGGCATTTCTAATATGCTTATTTAGTGTAGACACTTCTAATTATACCATTTAACCACCATTTTAAGCATTTATTTTTTAATATTGGTATAACAATTCCTGTATTGAAATCCTTACCACCAGTCTGCTCTCTAGGTAATTTACTATGTTCTTAATAATGCTATGTTTACATAATTAATCTGCTTAAACATTAAATATATAAATATTAATGTAATTAAGATTAAATTATCAAAAAATTCTGGGTTAATAGCATTCAAATTAATGCAAGAGCTCTATAATTTTCTTGTCCTATAGGAAACAATTTGAGGTTAAGCTGAATTCCTCTCATTTCACTAAATCAACATTAAACCTTTTCTGTAACCTGACCATGTGTCTCAGTGGTTAAGCATCGACCTATAAAGCAGGAGGTCATGTTTTGATTCCTAGTCAGGGCACATGCACAGGTTGCGGGCTCCATCCTTAGTATGGGGATGCAGGAGGCAGCTGATCAATGATTCTTTCTCATCATTGATGTTTCTCTCTCTCTCTCACTTCCCCTTCCTCTCTGAAATAAATTAAAATATATATTAAACAAACAAACACATATTCTGTGAAGACCAGGTAGTAAATATTTTAAACTTTGGAGGCTTTAGTCTGTCTTGAATACCTACCTTCTTTGTTTCTTTTCTTTTACGCGTAAAAATCATTCTGAACTGATGGGTTGTAAAAACACACACACCATAGGTCCAATTTGATCATGGGCCCTAAACTAAATATAAATGTAAGCAGATGGTATATGAACACTTATATAACAAGGCTCATATGAGTGTGTATAATTATACTGTATTATCACTTTTCTCTATAACTGGAGAGTTTTTTTATCTATATCTTGTCCATATGATTAAAAAAATAAAAATACATAGGCGATATTAAGTGCTAGAGGTGGGCTGGAGCCCTACACAAACTTACAGAATTGTAGAATTTTATTGATGGGAGAAATTGTAGAGATAATCTGTTTTGAAACCCTTATTTATCGATAACATAACTAAAAACTCAAATAGAAACAAGAAACAAAAACAAAACTCAAATAAATATAATTAACTTACAAATACTGAAGGAACAGCAGGCCTTCAAATGAATCTTTTTGTAATTTTCTCAAATTATTTCCACTGAGATTTCTGAAAAATGAAAAGGTTATTTCTGAAACAAAATGAAAAATAACTACAACTATTTACTGCACAGAAATATATATGGGAAACCTGGGTAATGGTGCCATTATTATGTCTTTTATTAATAATCCAAAAGTCACTTATGACAATCTGTTCAAGTTGAACTAATAATATGACACACAAACTGTCATGAAAAATACCAGGTACTTTGAATGTAAATATTTTCCCCCAAATCTCTTATGTGCCTAAATGGACTTTTCTACAAATCAATATTTAAAAAATGGGCCAAAAAAAAAAAAAAAAAAAAAGGGCAGGGCAAATTCAGAGAATACATACAAAAGTTCAATAAATATATAAAAATATTTAAGGTCACAATTAATCAGAAAAATTCAAATTCATATGGGACCCCTTTTATTCACCCATTAGATCAGCCAAAAAAAATGGAGACTATCTAGTGGTGAAAAGGTAGAGGGAAATAGATGCTGTTTGGCCCATTGATTGGCACAACTTCTTTAAGGGCAATTAAAATATATCAGCCCGGCTTAGTGGTTGAACTTCAAACTATAAACCAGGATGTCAGGGTTGGATTCCTGAATTGTGGGCTTGATCCCCAGTAGGGGGTGTGCAGAATGCAGCCACTCAATGATTCTCTCTCATCATTGATGCTTCTATCTCTCTCTTCCTCTCCTTTCATCTCTGAAAACAATAAAAATATATTTTAAAAAAAGAGGGCCTGCCAAATTTAGTTTTTTAAAGAAACAGAAATGCAATCAATAGTGATTGATTTGGGACATGGAGAGGGAAATACCATTATCAGAGTTATTGATCTCAAAATTCTGGACCAAGAAGGATCTTACAATGCAGTTAGTTATTTGCTGTATTCATTTTGGGAGAGAATATACTCACAGTTTTGCAACCAAATGGTATGACTTCCATGTATCTTTATTGATGTAAGAAATTAAGTTTCCTTGCAAGTTTCTGTGAAGAAACAGTTAATATCCTTGAATAAGTAGGAAAAGAATGAACAGAATAAGTAAAACATCATGGCAACCGTGTGGGGAATATTCAAATGCAGAAAATACCAGTTTTCTAATTTCCACAGCTACCAGCTTCCCAGTTTACACAATTAACAAAGACAATATGTGGGGCCACTGGCACAGACAATGAGGCAGCTCAGAGCCTGAAGTTCTCTTGGATAGGTAATGCCAGTTAATACTTCGAATGCATTCTTTCTAAAATCTAAAATGACTTCTACAAATCAACAGAAAAATGGCAACAAATTATCATTATCAGTAAATAAATATAAAGAAACCTTATGCCGGGCCACAGCACAGTTTTGGCTCAGTGCCTCTGTGGAAATCTCTCGAGTGTTAGAAGGATGAGGGCAGTGAGAAATGAGAGGACTAATATGAAAAGCTTTCACAGACATATTTGACAGGGAAAAGCACAAATCACTGAGCAAGGAATAAAGCATTAATATTTTAGGGGAAAATGCAAAAAGGAAGGAAGGAAGGAGTGAAAAAGGAAGGAAGGAAGGAAAGAAGGAAGGAAGGAAGGAAGGAAGGAAGGAAGGAAGGAAGGAAGGAAGGAAGGAAAGAAAAAGGAAGGAAGGGAGAAAGGGAGGAAGGGAGGAAGGGAGGAAGGGAGGAAGGGAGGAAGGGAGGAAGGAAGGAAGGAAGGAAGGAAGGAAGGAAGGAAGGAAGGAAGGGAGATTGGATGGAAGGATAGACACACACAACAGGAACGGTAGAGGGTGGGATTTTCACATTTTATACTCTATACCTCTGTGACATTTAAAAACACACAGGGAGAATATGTCTATGAATTATAAGTGTTTAAAAAAAGGTATTCAATTCCTGAGGCTCAATTTCAACCTGTGGATGACTTTGCATCTTCACCTTTAGCTTTGTCCTCTTCCCTCAGCAACAACTTACCCATTCCGTTTACAGACACGTTTCCCAGGAAGGTCAGAAAAAGTCACACCTACCTATCTGCCCTATGCCTAGGGGACATTTCCACTCCACCGGAAGCCTTCTGGGTACTTCCTGCTCACCCATAAAAGATGACCAAACTGAACTCATCTCCTCAAACAGGCTCTCCTTCCCCACTGCTGTATGCCCACCTGTCATATCACCATCATTCGCCTCATCATCCAGGGCAGAAATGTTATAGGGTCATATTTGACTTTTCTCTTTCCTGTACATTCCATCTCCCATCTCCAGTCAGTCACTAAATCTTATCAGTTGTTCCAGGGTTCTCCTTTTACTCCTATCACAACTGCTCTGATTCAGCACCTTCCCACTTTACTCCCAGAATTTGCTAGCACATCCTATTTGGTCTCCTTGAATCACGCTTTCCTTTCTAGATAGCTCTACGTATGGAATCTAAAATAATCCTATTTTAATCATATCTCTCTCTCACTTGAAAACTTTCAGTGGCTTTCCCTATCTCAGTGTAACTTCCAAACCCCTCTAGCTGGTAGCCAAGGTTTTTAATAATCATATTTTTCACTGCTTCTTAAACCAATTCTTTACAATCAGACTGGTCTATTAAGTCGTGATCATTCCTCCAGCCATGCCTCCGCCTAGACTGTACTCATTAGTTTTTCTCAATTTAACAAACCATAGCCATCCTTTAAATCACAGCTAATGTTCTAGCTTATCCATACAGCTTTTCCTGACTTCCACACCCCAGTGACTATAGATTCTGCTAAAGTATTGCATCTCTGGTCTATATCTCTTTTAGTACTTAATTATATGTTACCTCCTTTTTTATGCATATCCTCTCTCTTTCCACCTACCATTGTCATGTTCTATAGACAATGTCACACTTCTGTGGCTCCCACAGTACTTAGCCCTGGGTTGGATACAAAATGGGTGATATGTATAATATATATATATATATATATATATATATATATATATATATATATATATATATATATATTTATATATATTTATATATATTTATATATATTTATATATATTTATATAAAGCCAGGAGGCAAAGATGAATTCTGGATATAACAGGGATTTAATAATAATAATAGCTAACACATACATATGTTAGGCACTGATATAAGTACTTTACATATATTAACTCGTCTAACTCTTACAACAATCCTATGAAATGGCAACTATCAATATCATGATCTTCATTTTACAGATGAGGAAACTGAGTCCCAACACTAATAAATGACATACCTGGGTTCAAATCTAGTCACTCTGGCTCTAGAATCTCTACTCGTAACCGCTTTGTTGTATCACTACCAGTGAGATGGGGAGAGAGCCGTGCTGCTGTAAAGAGGACGGAGCAAAAGTGGGAGGAGGCAAGTAGAGGTTAAGGAATAAAATAATGGGACTAAAAAATAGATAAGGGAAAAAATATCGGCAATGAAAAGACTGGTGAAGGAGGAAACAATGGTAAGGAGGAGAATGCAGATAAGAAATAGTTGACAAAAGATAAAAACAGAAAGCAAGTCAATGAGGGTTAGAGAAGAGGAGGAAAGCCAAGGAAGACCTCAGGGAAGAGGCTGCCACGTCAGGCAGGATGCAGAGAACAAAAGAGGAAAGGCAATTCTTACAAGATCGAGAAGGGGCCCTGGTAGGCATTGGGCTCTGGCACGGGCACTCTGAGGAGCCTCTCGTCTGGGCGGAGACCGATACAGGAGAGAGTCCCATTACTGCAGGCACAGAGCTCACATATGCTCACGGTGGCACTCTGTCCAGTCTCTGGAGGAACTGTCTCAGATGACTCTGGTCGCTGAGTTATTAGAACTTCCGGGCCCGAAGGTAGAACAGTGCTTTCAGCCCAGGTTGGCTGCAGAGCCTGAACAGTCTCTGGGTGTGGAAGTGTCACCTCGGGGTAATGTGGAGGAGCTGCAGTCTGCTGCAGGGCTGAGGCACCCAGAGTAGGCTGAGCTGGGGTCTCCTGCTGCAATGGAGATGACGCTATCTTCTCAGGGGGCGTTGGCGGGATCTCCTGCTGAGTTGGAGCTTTGACTTCCTCAGCCGACTTTGGAGGATGACCTGAGACCTCCTGCCCAGTTACAAATAGTTCAATCTCCTTCGTGGACTCTGGAGATACCAAAACCCCCACAGCGACGTCTTTCACATTAACATGGGACGACACTGGATGCTGAGCTTCACGCGCACCTGCAGGTGAGACTGCCACCTCCTGATGGACCGAAGGTTGAGCTGCAACATCTATAGAGGGTTTTGGAGGCTGAGCTCCACCCGTCGGATGGACTGGAGAAGGTTCTACGCCAGCAAGAGGCACTTGAGGCGGAAGTGAGCTCGTCCACTGGCTCGAAGATTCGATATTTTCAGCGGGAATGGGATGCTGACCTGGAATTCCTTGGTGGGCTGGCAAAGGTTTCAATGGCTCAGAGGATGCTGTAGACTGAGCTGAGGCCCCTTGTTGGGGTGGAAACTGAGCTGACGTCTCCTCCTGGGTGGAAGTGGCTTCTGCTCGCTGAGCTGGGGCCTCCCGAAGGGCTGGAGGACGTTTCACTTCCTTGGAGGCCTCTGCAGGCAGAGCCGAGGCTTCTTGTTGGAGCAATGGAGATTCACCCTCTTTAAAGGCATTTGAAGGCTCAGGTGGGGGGGTTTGCTGATCCAAAGGCCAGGGCTCGATCGGGCCTGAGGGGATGGAGGTCAGCAGGACAGGGTCCAGGGCCAAGTCTGAAGGCTGAGCTGCCTGGACCAGCAGCCTCAACAGCTGCCACATAAACAGGGGCCATGGGACCCAGAGGTGCAGCCCAGACATGACAACCAGAGGTCCAGGGCATAGCGAGCGACCCAGGCCAGTGGGTCACAACGAGGGACGCAGTGAGCAACCCAGGTGAGGAGGGCACAAGGAGTGATCCAGGGGAGTGGGGCACAGTGAGTGAGCCGGGCACTGGACGGAAGCCGAACAATTGGCAGCCTTGTCACAATTGGCAGCTGTGTCATGCATGTGCCCCTTAGCAACCAAACACCCCTCCCCCGCCTCAGGTTCCAGCCTTTGTTTAGGCAGCCTTTGTTACTCTTGGGCTGAGAGAGACTGCAGAAGAGTGAGCTTTTTCCCAGAATCACCAGGGACCAAGCATCCTTTTCACTTGCCGAGGGGATAACAGCCTCCCACTCACAGAGAGGCAGGATTTGAGCTGTAGACCTTGGTGGCTCCAGACTCCAGCAGCCCAGGGAGGGGGGCAGGGGTTCTAAATGGGGTGGGAAGATGGGAGGTGCTGCAGAGCTTCCCAAGGAACCCACAGAGCCTGGCGTCCCAGGAAATTCAGAAATGCTAGTCCAGTTCTGGCAATCTGAAATACGAGGGACAGACCTTCTTCCTCCTCTGGGCCATACTGCTCCCAAGAAAGCATTTAGGGTGGTGGAGAGGAGGACACTTGACAGTTCTAATATGTTGCCATTTCCTCAAAATTCTTAGGTCCCATGTCTGATTCTTAATTTACCGCTCTATCAGTCAGGGGCTACCACTGAATCAGTGATGTCTCCAAAATTTCTATAGGTGGGATTTTGGAGGGCGAGCAATTCATTTTGGGAAAGAGGGTCTGAAACCAAGTGTAGCCCCTTAAACTCAGTTGAACTTGTATATACTTGTCCTATCTTTCTATGAAATTAAAAGTGATATATGCTTATATTAACCTTATATAACCAGCATCTCCTAGCAGTGCCTTGCATGTAGCAGTAGCAGATGCTCATCAAAGATTGGTTGGATAAATGATTGATACTAGGTGAGAACTTGTAATAGATGAGGGTTTGATAATCTTCAGTGGGTGTTATAACTCTAAATATTTTGTATTTGGGAAACTAAAAATTGTTCTAATTACATTTTGATAGGCAATTTGCCCAATGAATGTTTTTATGCTAATTAGATCTGATAGCCAAAAGATCTTCCAAACAAAGCAGGGGCTGTGAGGGCCGAGGCAAGCTGCTGAGGCTGCCAGGGCCAAGCCCCTTGCATGAATTTTGTGCATTGGGCCTCTATAAATAAATAAAACAAAAAAGGAAACCCAACCACAAATTGTAATTTAACTCTGTATACACAGCTATCAATCCTAAATACTATTTGCTAGGCCTTCAAAGAGAATGTTAGCTGAACTGCCCTGCCAAAATGTCCTGGGGTAGTCTCTATGGGTCTTTCATTCTGGGAATAAGAAGTGACTTTTTTTCATTTGCTGTTAGGACAGTCTAAGCGGTGTTACACTTGGCTTAATACTGACACTTCTCTAATAAGTATAGGGCCAGGGCTACCCTAGTCTCTTTTAAAAAAAACAACACATTTCCTCAAATATAAGTACTCTTAAAATGAGATTCTTAGTTAATCCAGATTAATAAGCATATAAGGAGCCCAGCCTGTGTGGCTCAGTAGTTGAGCGTGGACCTATGAACCAAGAGGTCACCATTGGATTCCTGGTCAGGCCACATGCCCTGGTTGCTGGCTTGATCCCCAATAGGGTCCATGATTCTCTCTCATCATTTATGTTTCTCTCTCTCTGATATCAATAAAAAGTATTTATTTTTAAAAAACATATAAAGAAAACAATTTTGTAGAGTATTGCTACAAGTTATGCTTTTTACCCCCACAATTTAGTAACATGCAGCTACCATATTAACACAAAACGGTAATTGTGTGGTTAAAAAAAAAATGCACCTCAGGACCAGCCTAGAGAAACTTCCGTGAGTCCATTGGAGGGGAGTCACCACGGATACATTTATTACAGATCCAGGAAGGACTTTATCCTTTGAAATTGGATAAAAAGAAAAGCCATTTTCTAATAAGTCCCCCCCCCCCCCCCCATACTTTTGCAGAGTGACTTAGAAGTTGGTGCAAAGTTCATCTTCAGCAAGTGCGGCTGCATGATCAATGCACATCTCTCTCTGGGACCAAACTGCGTGTCTCAGGCAAAGCAATGCGATCAGTGACGCCTGCGCCCAGGATTTCTCCCTTTTACTATGGGTTTCACCACAAGGACTAGGAACCGGGTAAATCACCACGTTTGTTTCGGGTTTGTTTGGTTTCCTGCTTTGCTTCCTAGCCATTCACTGCAACTGCGGCGGGAGCCAGCAGCAAAAATAAAGGAACCCAGGACCCGGTCAGGCTCCCGGCGACCCAACCTGACCCGGTCCGCGCCGCAGGGTTAGAGCCGGGCGAGGGGAAGAGAAGGCCTGTCCCCGCCTAAGGCCGCGGGGGCCGGCCCGGCGGCCACCTTATTGGGCATCACCACCGCGCGGGCGGCGGCCCACCTGCCCCGGCGGAACCTTCGGGCCCGAACGCGGGCGGGGCCGCGGGCTGCTCGTACCGCCCGCCCCGCCAGCCCCTCACATCGGAGCGGAGGCGGGAGAAGGGGGGAGAAGGGGGCGCAGAGGGCAGAGGTGGCGGCTGGGCGGGGCGATGGAGAACGCCCACTGAATTACGGGGCCCTCAGCCGCCATCTTGTTTCCCTGAGTGACAGCGGTTGCAGGCCCTGAGCGCGGTCACGTGAGCTGCGCCTGAGACGGAGCGAGGCCCCCGGCGGCCACTAGAGGGAGCCCTGAGGGGTAGGAAGCCCGGGCGCCCCCGCGCGGCCGGGCTGGAGCCCAGAGGCAGGTAGCGCCATCTAGAGGGGCGCTCCCTTTCGCTAAGTGCCTGGCATAGAGCCTGGGCAGCGGACTCTGTTTCTATCCCTCTCTCTCTTACTTCCTTTCTGAAATCAATAAAGATATATTTAAAAAACAATAAAATATCAAAAGAACCCTGGCTGGGTGGCTCAGCTGGTTGGAGCATCATCCCATGCACCAAAAGGTTGCAGGTTTGATTCCTAGTCAGGGCACATGCTTAGGTTTCGGATTTGATACCACTTAGAGGCAACTATTGGAGACAACTGATGAACATTTCTATCTAACATCAATGTCTCTCTCTCCCTCTCAAAAAAGTCAGTAATAACACATCCTTAGGTTAGGGTTAAAAAAATTATAAATATATACAAAAAAGTTTAGAATTTGGCATTCTTGAATTAGAATTCTGAACCAGAGCCAGACTTTACTGATTCTCATCAAACAAGATCTCTTTATTCTCTACGTGGCTTCCTTTAACAACGGCAGCTTTACTGAGGCGCCAGCCTAGGGAGTCGGAGCGGAGTGCCTGTCCCTGGTGCACTCACACCACGTGCGGTGAGAAGACGGCCAGCCTTCCACCAGGACAGAAGCTCAGGGAATTTCCACAAGTGCTTACCTTTGCTCTTTCCCTGCATACGAACACTAACATCTGTTTTCATACTTGGAAATCTTCATGGAAACAAAAGGCTTAAAAAGAAAAATATTAGATTTTATTCAGGATAAGCAGAGGATTAGAGTGACATCAAATGAAACCATCCAAATATTTCTTGATAAAATATTTTACAATATTTTATCAAGAAACCCACCAGCGAAAGTCCAAAGAACCAGGAATAAGCTGTACATTTTTTACTTTTATGAAAATGACAAGAAAACATGCCTCTTCCTTCAGGAGGTCTGGAGGGGGCTTCTGGGGTGGGCACTTGGGGAGTTTGGTACAGCTTTCTATAAACGCAACTTGATAAAAACAGGAGATAATAGACACACCATTTTTCATTGGTTTATTATAAAAGTAAGACAATTCCCACAGACAAAATTTCTAAATCCCTTTGCTGTCTTTTTGTTGTTGTTGTTGTTGTAAAACTTCTAAGATGTAACACCCTTCACAACCCCCATTCTGCTCAGCCCACACTACAGCCCAACTCCTGGGCTCCTGGCTGCATGGGACAGAGGTTCCAACATCCCGGACCATGGCCAATTCAGCCTCTAAGGTGGCTGAGCCCTGTTAGGAAACATTAAAACATTTTTAAAAATTTATTGATTTTATAGAGAAAGGAAAAGAGGAAGAGGGAGGGAGGGAGGAAGGAGAGACAGAGAAACATCGATTTGTTGTTCCACTTATTTATGCATTCATTGGTTGCTTCTTGTATGTGCCCTAATCAAGGACTGAACCTGCAACCTTGGTTTAAGGAGAAATGCTCTAACCAGCTGAGCTACTTGGCCAGGGCTAGGAAAATGTAATTAGCTGCTAACTCCTTCTAAATAAATCATGGATGGATTACTTTCGCCCCTAAGATTACATCCTGAATATCTGATGTTCAAGCTCTGGTCTTCCTGTTATCACTTGACCCCTGAAAAGTATGGCAGAATATTCACCGATTGGCTCATCCTAGGCGTGCCACTTATGATCCAGATGAGGCCAAATAAACAGTCAGGATATTGTCTAAAAAGGCCATGATGGCCCTTTTGGCTGTGTCGCCAGCCAGTGCCTGGACAGTGCTGATGTGCTCCAGGGCTGATCTGACCAGCTGGTCTCTTTCCTGTGGGCTATGGGGTGCTCCAGCGTCATCTCCCTCCGCTCCTGATTTTAAAAACTGTAGGAAATAGGACCGGATCATGTCCTCATTCAACTCAAGGGTTTCTTTGATGCAAGGCAAGTCTGAGGCACTGGCCAAGCTCAAGAGATGAACCAGCGCCTGACAGATTTGGGTCCGTAAGCTGGCACAGTACTTGAATTCCAAGAAGTCTGTGGTGTCTTCACTCTTCTGCAAGGCAGTGACCAATGCATTCCAGATCTGAGCGTACTGGTCAACAGACCCATAGTGTTCTCTCTTGCCCGGGATGGAAAGGGCGGTGGCAGACCTGATGCGCACTTTGAAATTCTTGCATGACGTCACAACCGATGTCAGGGCCTTGTAGGCCTGGGAGGTCCACGGAGCTGTTCCTGGAAGAACCCAGTCATTAAAAGGAAGGAAGATTTAGAAATCAATAGGGGGAGAGGGAGAAGGGCATGCAGAAGGAAACATATACATTAGTGCTCAAGTTGTCAGTTTATGGTGTGTTTTTTAAAGAATTACTGCCACATTTTTTGGTACTTAAAAAAAAAAAGATTTTTAATTGGCTCTAGCGATTTTTTTCTCAGTGGTTAGAGTGTTGGCCTGGGGATTGAAGGGTCGTGAGTTTGATTCCAGTCACGAACACGTACCTGGGTTGCAGGCTTGGTCCCTGGCCTGGATTGGGGTGCATAAAGGAGGCAACCAATCGATGTTTCTCTGTCTCTCTCCCTCCCTTCCATTCTCTTTAAATCAATGAGAAAAATATCCTTGGGTGAGGATTAATAAAAAAAAAAAAATATATATATATATATATATATATATATATATATATATATACACACACATATATATGTGTGTGTGTGTGTGTGTGTGTGTATATTTTTATTTATTTTTTATTTATTTATTTTTTAATTGATTTTTTAGAAAGAGGGAAGGGGAAGGAGAAACATTAATGGGCTGTCTTCTGCACATCCCCTACTGGGGATCAAGGCTGCAACTTGTAGTTGTGCCCTAACCAGGAACTGAACAGGCAACCTTTCGGTGCACAGGATGAGGCCGAAACAAGTGAGCCACACCAGCCAGGCTGTAACCATAATTTTAAATGGCAACAAAATATCCCAATGAATATATATACCATGGTACCATGGTTGATCTCAGACAATTCCCCTCAGCTTGGATGTTCAGTATGTTTCCATT